CCGTACCAGAAATGCAAGCAAATCATGAATGCCTTGATTTGCATTGTATCTGCGCTTGCAATTTTGTACTGTAATAAAACAAGTTGATTTCATCCATTATATTTGAACTTATCAAACCAAACAACTCAGAAGAGCCGCAGGCTAATAAACAATATTATGGCCGTACCTTCCTTTCTGCAATGTTCTTATTGTTGTTAAGACTCTTGCTTTTTTTAGTTTTATTTTTTTGTAAGATACTTTCAACGCCATGCCTTTTTGCTGCTTGCTTGCTCTGCAGATACCATTTAGACATGTTTATGTTAACTTAATTGTTGTGTGCTGTGTATTTCCAATTGCAGACATCATGCAGCATCAGTTGTGGTGATACACTCGATCTTCACAAGCACACGAAATCGGTTATTTGCTTTTGGTTTCATGTTTCCATAATTATTTGGTCATATATTATCTGCAGTTGTTAGGCTGGCGATACTCAGTAGTCCCCATTAGTTTCAGGCTCTTTAAAAGGGCAGTATTTATAACCTTTTTTGTTGAATTTTTTTTTTAATTTTTTACCAAATACCCGACTACCTTTCATAGCCATCAGATACTAAATCGTCACTACTTTTTAGTTAATTTTTTTTTTGTTTTGTTTTTGGTATATACGAGTAAATCTGTGGTTGTGGTTATTTTAGTTTAATTGTTATGATCACGAAGTTGTGATCAGGTTAATTTACGTACCATTGACATTATTACAGCATAGACCCTACCCATGTTCAACATTAAAAAATTGCTAAATATTGTTTTATTTATATAGGCAAAATCATTATAATATGCAATCCAAATTATTGTATACAATATAAAATAAAAATTATTGTATATAATATAAAATTATATACTTTATACATTTAAAATTATTTAAAATTTCCGATATAATAAATTAAAAAATTAAATTTAAACATTAATTTAACATTTTCTAAAATAGCTTAATTTAATTTATGTTTATATTATTAATAATAATTTTTTAGGCAATTATAATCTCTCTTACAATTTTTTATTTGATTTGTAAAAGTTTGTTATATTAACATTATTTATGTATTTACAATTTTTTAAACAAATTTACATTGAAATATTTATATTAATTGCATTATTATTTTTATTCATTATTATTATTTATTTATTTCATTTTATTATTTATTTATTTTATTTTATTATTTATTTATTTATAATGATTTTTGTATTTATTTTTTAGCTGGCTATAGGTCACATTTTTTTTCTTCAATAAAAATTAAAAAATCGTTTATCGATGTTTTTTAAATAATTCTATATTTCGATTCTCTTTGAGAGTCATCATCAGGATCATGTTCTAATAAAACTAAAAATTAATAATATCAGATTTCATTAATCTAATTGTCATGTTACATATTCTATTGTCCATATTGCGCTATTATTATTTATTTTTATTTTATTTTTATTTTACATTCAAATATTTATACAATTTAATAATGATAATTTGAAGAATCAAAAATTTATAAAGAATCAAAAAGTTTTTGACAAAATTTTATTTAAAGTTAAATGTTTTCACCGATGGTTCGAAAACTGGGAGTGGCTTAGGTAGTGGAGTTTTCTCAAAAGGGTTGAATATATGCTCTCATTATAGGCTTCCAGATCACTATAGTGTGTTTCAGACAAAAGTGACTGTCATAAAGGAAGCTTTAGCTTGTCCATAAGAAGATAATATATTTAAAAGGAATATATATATATACTAACGGATAGTCAAGCTGCTTTAAAGTGCTTGAGAGTTCAGTCCAATTTACATCTAGGACTATATATTTCTAAATATATCTATATATCTCTAAATATATCTATATATCTCTAAATATATCTATATATCTCTAAATATATCTATATATCTCTAAATATATCTATATATCTCTAAATATATCTATATATTTCTAAATATATCTATATATCTCTAAATATATCTATATATCTCTAAATATATCTATATATCTCTAAATATATCTATATATCTCTAAATATATCTATATATCTCTAAATATATCTATATATCTCTAAATATATCTATATATCTCTAAATATATCTCTAAATGAGATGTCGACGCAGTTCAATATCTCTCTAATCGAGGTTCCAGGTCATAGAGATATTTTCAGCAATTGCAAAGCAAACGAGCTAGTCAGAAGGGAAACCACTCGGATCACCAAAACAATCTTGACATCATACAAATTGGTTTTTAATTTATAATTTCATTTTTAATTTATAACAATTTAATTTAAATAAGTTTAACTTAAAATATTAATTTTTAATTATCATTTATTTATTATTTTTTATGTAACAAGAATATATCATAAAAAACTAAATATTTATTTTTAATAAGTACTGTTAATTGAAAAGAACTGCTACATATATTGTATTTAAGCCAACAGTTTAGTCCAGGATTTTATTTTTTCTAGGAATATGAGTAAATAATTACAAATTAGTATATGCTAATTGGATATATATATAGGTATATATATTATTTTATGTAATAATCACTTAATTAGGGTAATTTAAATCGGTGATTGGTAAGATATTGTCGGACAAACATTAACTATTAAAAATCCACCGTTTCACAAACCGCAATTAAACTGGTGGAACGCATTTGTGCAGTTAATTTATTTAGTTCTACGAATTTTTTAGTTGCAGTTACTTTGCTGTTTGGTTCATAGTGGCTTTTTCATGGTGCAATCACGATTCAAAGGCAAGACAACTTGTTAAATAAACGCATTCCATTGTAGATGCGCGAACACAACGACATCACGAAACTTATATCGATTTGTGGGGGAAAAACAACAAAGCTAAAGGTAAAGATTTTATGATGATGCCACAACATGTATATAAGTATTCCGCTTCACCATAGGAGCTTTTGCAACACACCAACAAAAAAAAAACAAAGAAGAAAGATAAAAGATTCCATCATCAATGGAAGACGTGAGCAAATAACAATAAAAGAAGTGAAATAAAAAGTAATGCGGAAAGAAAAGGGTTCGGAACCGTAATTAGTGTGAATAATCGTGGTGGGCGATTTTATATAGTCAATTAGCGAATAAAATATTTATGTATATTTTTATAGTTTCTTTACATGTAAAATTTAAATTAGTAATTATATAATCTGGATAACTCACAAGTTTTTATGAATGTTAAAAATCCAATTTAATGATTACGATTTACTAATTTTTGTCGTGACTAATTAATGTATGGAATTATGGGCATAGTCAAGGGAAAGAATATGGCAGGGTAGTATCACTAATAAAAGTGTGCACAAAATAATATTTTATAATGAAAAGTATCATTATACACCCATGGGGTATTATGTCCAAAATATGATTGATTAATGGAAAAGGTATGAATATGTTTATATGCAGGCAATGCTTTGTAGCAAGTACAAAACCAAGTTCCTAATTTTAATCCAACTTTTATTTTTATAAAAAAAAAGATGTAAGCAAACACATTGAAAAGAACTTTATTCTTCATGTGAAAAGTTTCGGAGTTTTTCCCTTCGCCGGCTTTCAAGCTACGCGCAAATGTACAATTTAATTATCATAATTATAATTAAAGATTTTATACTGTATGTATAATAATGTTTTCAAGAATTATTTCATATTTATAACTATAACACATATTGCAATATAAAAAATTCAGTAACTATCTTACAGTTCAAGACATATTTTTATATAATATATATGAAATTGATATGTTTTTATATATACTATGTATATGATTAGCAAAGTGAAGGTGAGTTTATTGCAAATATGTGTAATTAATATATAATACGCATATTTAATGTTTTATTATTAATTTTATAGATATATTATTATTTTCGGTGATACACTATATCACTTCAAAAAGTGTTGCTTTATATAAATCAAAAACTTTCTTAAAAAAAATAAATATTAAAAGTTAAACATAAATTAAAATTTTAATATAAAAAAAATTAAATTTTTTCTTGAACTTAATAATCTTCGTTTCTACAAGAAAACATACGATTTTTTGTTTCACTCACTCTTCTTCGGTATTTTGAAGTCTTCCACGATCTCTTGCAGCTTGCGAGTTCCACGTAATCGTGCATAAAAAATATTAACATAAGTCGGACTCTCGTAAACTATGATCGATTCAATTACGCTTAATGCTTTTTGCTAGTTGGTAATACTCACCAGTACTTCATTGGAAATTATTCTAGACCACAATATTTGGAAAAAATTTCGCAAACATCTGTTTATAAAACATTATAGCTTTGACTAGGATTCGGTTTTACTGTAACAAGTCATGAAGTCTTAGAGCCGTAAAGTAGCACCGATTTTACGAAAATATTAAATATTTTAACTTTAGCAGAAGTCTTCATAAACCTCTCATTTCATATATTTGGAACTTGTAATTTTCTGTTTTGCTATGCTAATTATATTTATTAAAAATGTGGTCAAGTCATTGTACGTCAAATATATAATATAATTTATATCATATATACTTGACATTGTTTTATTTATTATATACAGTACAATTTTCTAAGTTCCTCATCCGAGCTATTGTGATAGAGGCAGGGTCAGTTGTCGTCTAAACAATCACGCGCATTGATTGAGAAATTGTAGAATTAGTTAAACATAGCTTTCCATGTGCTGGATCCGGATAACGCTGGACAGTGCCGTAACAGGTGGTCCGATATAATACAATATCATTTAAATAATTAAATGATGTTATAACTAAATTAATTGATACATTCAATTATGTACATATTTGTACATAAATGGAAAATGTAGGATTAATAGGAGAGTTATTTTTTGCTTTTGTTCGTAATACAGCACCAAAATATTGTTAAATAAAAAATGCAATTTGTTGTTAATATTTTTATTACAATTATATAAAGACTCATAATTTATACAATTATTATTTTATTACTTCATTTCATGTGTAAAATTATGTACATTTATAAATAGTTACTAAGAAGTTTACTAAGAAGTTTATCACATGTTTAAAAAAAAAGGGTTCCCAACGTTAGTGTAACCCTTCGAACCAACAATACAAGTGGTAGAAAACTTGTTCTAACCAAAGATACTTCTGACTTTTTTATCTTTAGTTATATGTTTAGGTTACTTTGCGTTTGTCTTGTTCCGATACTTCTACTTAAAGGTAACAATATGAAGACAGTTTTTTTCTGGTTAAAAGAACTAACTACGCATGCGCCGGTATCTGTGCTGAGACTGCTTACGTTTGTGGTGTTGAGATTCCACAGCAACATTCACTGCATTGGCTTCGATTCGCATGCCTTGATATAGCTGTTCGTTCGGCTCAAAAACAGGTAGGTAGGTAGGATGTATAGTTAATATTGTTTTACGCTGCTTTGTTTTGTATTATTCATGCTAATGATTGCGATGATGATGAAGACGATGATATCGCCACTTATGGATTTTCAACGCCTGCGCTACCATTACCCATGCTAGTTTTGAAAGAGTAAATATTAAACGTTGATCTTAACTATGTTTATGTTCTTGACCGTGATGCGACAGCTGCGCCATCATAATTAATAAAACACAAGAAGAAGCAACAAACATATCTACTTGCTTTTCATACAATATTGTAATGTATATAAGAATAGCTACACGAGTATATTTAAATGTGTGTTAACTAAGTAGCCTACGTACACGAGGAGTCTTACATGTTTAAATAGGAAATAAATATTGATTTGAAAGGAATTTTATAGGAAAAAAAACCACTATATTTTTGAATAGTTTTATTTGTTTTTAATGTGTTATTAAGTTTGAATTAAATCACTTTTGTTTGTACAGAAAGTGCTTTAATGATAACAAATTCATATATTCTCATGCACATGCTAATTTCAAAAAAAAATTTATATACAATAGTATATTTGTGTGTATATGTGACAGTAGTACCCGTAATAATATAGGCTCTCTCTCAACTCGTTAACTTCAAATATTTTGAATAGCGCTTTAATCCACGTACAAAGTGAATGAGTGAGATACTTTTTTTTTTATTTATTTATTTGTTTTTTTTTCGTGTGTATAGATACGACGAACACATTGAAATGCACAAATTTTTGTTTCAAACACATTTGCAGTTAAGCAAAGCAAACCAAAGCGAAGTATATTTGTAAATGTATTATGTGGCGCCAAGCAAATAGGCGCCATCGACCACACGTTCTATTATTCCATGCGCTATTAAGTTTTATTATAGAGCGCTTTTATTGCTTATAGATGAACGAAGCGAAACAGCTTACTTGCTCGTTAGCCTACTAGCTGCTAGCTGCTAGCTACTTAACTCGCTATGTAAACATAGACAAATAGCGTACTAACTATGCTTTTATGAATATCTGAACATGATTAGATACAAAATTTATTTGAATTGGATTTCTGTTTTAATTATTAATATTTTTTTCTTTTCTTCTGCACAATGGATATAAAGAATTTTCATTATTGTTGAAAATATTTTTTACTCGAATTTCAATTTTAATGAACGTTAAAGATGTTAAGATGCCTGTCATAACAAAAATTGAACCGGAAATACAAGTACAAAGTTAAAAAGATACTTCGGATTTTGAGCATGATTTTTTTTTTATTTACAAATATACATTTTAAATTGTAGATAAATTATACGAAATACATACATATGTATTAAATTCTGTTTGATTTAAATGAGCTATTAAGAATGCATTTTTATATACTAAAAAGTTTATTTTTTAATTTTTAAAAATATTTCTGAACATTTTTTTTTAAACATCTGCTCTGGATTACATCAAAGAAGTAAGAAAATGCGGGAATGTTTGTTCAGAGACACCACCAAACATACACACATACACAACATACACAACGTTATTAGTATTTAGGGACTAAGGATATATGATGTATTAAGAAAGAGTCAACTGGGTTTATTATAATATGAATGGATTACACACATTAAGGAGAATGAAGAATAATAATTACTGAACTCATTCATGTATGGTATTTTTGTAGGACAAATATTTTTAATGGTGACTAAAAAAATATCATCAAATATTTTGCACCAAAAAAACAAACCATATTATAACAATAATAAAAGTAAAAATATAATAAAAATAATAAAAGTAAAAATATAATAAAAATAATAAAAGTAAAAATATAATAAAAATAATAAAAGTAAATAATATAAAAAAATAATAAAAAATAATAAAAAAAATAAAAATTAAAAAAAATAATAAATATAATAAAAAAATAATAAAAAATAATAAAAAAATAATAAAAATGATAAAAATGATAAAAAAATGATAAAAAAAATAAAAAAATAATAAAACTATGTTAAAACAAAAATTCATTAAACCATTAATAACATATTACCATAATAATAATGAACCATAATAAAAAGCCTGTTAAATATAGAATAGAAAAAAAATATATACAATATACAGTAAAACATAATAAAATTGGTTAACAAAAATATAACAATGTAAAAATATTTAAAAAAAAATTATAGCAATGTTGAATAAATAACAATAATAATGAAATTAAAAATAACTGTTAATTGGTCAATATCTAAATATAGAATTTTCTGAAATACATCTACATATAACGTTATTAAACTACTCAATTACAATAAAAAACTAACACAAATAATATGTATAAAAAAATAATGTTTTGTAAAATGTAAAAAATAAATAAATAAAAAAATATATAAATTAAAATAAATAAATAAATTAAAATAAATAAGTAAATTAATATAAATAAATTAATTAATTAAAATAAATAAATTAATTAAAATAAATTTAAATAAAATAAATAAATAAATTAAAATAAAATAAATAAATAAATTAAAATAAATAAAGATAATTAATAAATTATAATAAATAATTAAATAAAAAAATTAATATAAGATCTAATTTTTTAAAAATAATAATTTAATAAATAATAATAATAAACAATATATAAAATAATATCGCAAGAATAAATATATGGTAATAATAATATGCAATATGAAATAATGATATTTAATATGAAAGATAATAATAAAATAAATTTATAAAATAATTTAAAATTAATAATATTATTATTAATAATAATATAAAATAATAAAAATAATAATAAAACAATAATATAATTAAAATAACTGTATAAAAATAGTAAAAAAATTATAATATATTATATAAAATAATATTAATTATACAAAACAAAAATTATGATATAATAATAAAAATATATATGAAAATAATAATACAAAAGGAATTATTCTACACTGGTAATAGAATAAATAATGCATGTAGAAAATATAGATAATTCTGATAACCTATAAATCATTTCATATATTAGATACTAACACCTTTATCGTTGGCTTTTATGTTACAAGAGTAGGTGGCTGATGGGTCTAAGATCCAAGTAAGTAGCTTGTTGGTGAGAAAATTTAACTATTGTACTTATAGCTATATATAACTTTCACTTAATTAGGTTAAATAAAATAGGTATGCCTAAATAATACAGATGGACTGCGAACTTAAAAAATCGAGTACTAATACCATAATAATAGATTACAATTGTTAGATAAAGATTCTTAAATAATGAAGTATATGTTAATAGTTACTCGCTATAAGAAGAGTATTTAAGAAACGATTAAAAAGTTGGATTTATTAAATCAACTAGTCACCATGAAAGAAACTAGTGATAAGTAACTAGTAGCAAAGAGTATATACACATAGAGTGTGCATGTCGAACAAAATATCAGTCACAAAAATTTTGTTCTACTGGTTTTTTAAAAACCCAGGAATTACTCAATATTTGAGTCCTTTTACTATATGTGTGCAAAGAGACTGCATTTTCATTGATATGTGCACATTATCACACTCAACCGCTCTTTTGGTTATAAATATGCTCTTTTGGATATGAAAACATATGTATATACATATATGCATTTTATATTATGTTCGTTTTCTTTAATTTGTATGTATATTTAAATATGTTTATATTTCGTTTATTAAACTATTTTATATGTTTTGTTCTTTATTATTTTACTAATATTTACAATATTACAATTTAATTTAATTCTAAGAATACTTTCGTTTTGAAAGTATTTTTTAGCTACGTACCCTATTGTGTATCTTAAAGACAATAAATCAATATTTATGTTCTTTGAATTGGAAAATGCATCTGATATAATGCAATTTTCGATGTCATTGCACTCTAGATCAGAGTAGGCTTCTACTGCACAGTTACTAGACACCCTAGAGTTATTTTCATAGAGTTCTATCAAAGAAGAAGAAAGCACATCATCAAGGCACTTGTTATCATTATCCTCACTTTTTTCACAGTTGGCTACTTTTTTAGCGTATGTATATGATATTATAAGTCACCATTTATATATGGTGCAATTTTTTACCTAAATATGTTGTTTTTTAAAAACCTTTACAATAAATAATAAGCAATAAAATAAAAATAACTTAATAGTAAAAAACAATAAACTATTAAAATTAAAAACAAAACCGCAATAAAAGAAGGATTAGCAGGGTGGTCTATAGCGCAACAAGAACAGGTAGTTTGCACTTATATTATCATAGTCGCCATCGTAAGCAATATTTATAATATAATAACTGTCCTTATATTATTACTTATTGAATTTTTTGTTAAACTTTATGAAGTTTACTGAAGCTCATATTTTGCATAATTATTCAGTAATTTCTGAGATCTGAAATATATACAAAACATAGACTGGGAACAGCAAATTTTTGTGATCCTTAAGCATTAGGCATTAGCATTAGTGAAAAAATTTTATGGAAAACTTGTATACATTTTTTGGGTATCGATTGTATTAGATTGTAGTGAAAAAAGTCGTAAAAACACGAGGGATTTTTGCAAATTTTCACTTTTAAATTTAACTGTTAATAAAATTTAAACATGTTTTTATTTAAAAATGGTAACAATATCCTAAGCTGTAAAAAATATAAAAAATAATAATTTTTCAATTAGTAGATATAAAATTATAAGGGTTCAAATTTCGCCAAAATTGTACGAAATCTCAATTTTGCCAAAATTTCATACAATTGCGAATAACATACAATAATTTACAAAATATACTGTGCTCTTTACTTCTATACAAATGTGTTTCAGTTAAACTTGAAAATAAAAATTTCGATTTACAGAAAATTCTATATAATAATGAAGAAAAAAAACGGATTGTGGACAAAAAATAAGTTTTTTGGTATTTTTGCAGACATTTATTGCTTTGATATTTTCATTAGTTGCTGTTCTTGATTTCTCAATATATTGTTAAATGCACCTTTCTACATAAAAATACCAACAACTGTAGTTCAGAGCGCAGAAAAGCAATACAAATTTCTTTAAAACTTATTAAGTATAAAATGCTTAAACACTCCAAACTCTCCCGCATGTTAAAGCTGAAAAATTAAAAATTGAGTCACAACGAGTCCATATTAGTGCTGTTCATATTCGAATTTACGAAGTATTCGAAGAAATTCGAATATTCGAATAGTAAACGAAGTCTTCGAAGTTGAAAAAAACTTCGAAGTTTTTGTGAATTTTTGTTCTCGAAGTCTTCGAAGTTTAAATGTAGTGAAAAACTTCGAAGACTTCGAAGACTTCGTAAGCAAAAGGTGAAGTGAGAGCGCAAAATGCAAACAAACGTGCATCACACAAATTATTTGAGGGATGAAAGCATTTGCTTTGTTTGTACGGTTTTATGTTTTTTGTTGTTATTCTATGCAGAAAATTAAAAACATGTTTTTTTGTTTTATTTTATTACATAAAATTTATTTTATTATTAAATATGTATTATAATATATATTATTTTTAAATATGTTATTATTAAATATTTTTTATATTAAATAAAAAATTCACATTTTAAATAACTTATATTTATTATATATATTTAAAAAATTATATTTGAGAAAATTTTTAATATAATATAAAATATATACGTAATAATATGAAAATATTGATATTGATGGATTTTATTAGTAATGGAATTTTATAAAAGTTTTCATTTTCCTTTTCAATAAAATCACAAATTAAAATCTTGAAAATTAGTTATGGAAAAATGAGTTTTGCTTATTAATGCCTAATTATTTGACCTGTATGAGCTGTGATGATCACGCAGGCAAGCGCAAATTTATTTTTGCATTATAAAATTTTGAATGTTTTGTTGTAGTTACAGTTATTTTACTGTTTATGGAAAAATTTTAAATCCCTTATTCTAGGAAAAGAAATACATAATATTATAAGGAAGTATCTAAATAAAATGTAAATTAGTGTATAAGCAAAATTGTATAAAAGAAATTCCATCAAATTTTCATGTATTTTATATTATATTAAAAATTTTCATAAATATAATTTTTTAAATATAAATAATAAATATAAGTTATTTAAAATGTGAATTTTTTATTTAATATAAAAAATATTTAATAATAACATATTTAATAATAATATGTATTATAATACATATTTAATAATAAAATAAAAAAATAAATTTTATGTAATAAAATAAAACAAAAAAACATGTTTTTAATTTTCTGCATAGAATAACAACAAAAACATAAAACCGTACAAACAAAGCAAACGCTTTCATCCCTCAAATAATTTGTGTGATGCACGTTTGTTTGCATTGTGCGCTCTCACTTCACCTTTTGCTTACGAAGTCTTCGAAGTCTTCGAAGTTTTTCACTACATTTAAACTTCGAAGACTTCGAGAACAAAAATTCACAAAAACTTCGAAGTTTTTTCCAACTTCGAAGACTTCGTTGAAATGCGAATATTCGAATATTCGAAGAACTTCGAATTTTTAAAAACTTCGAATAATGTGAAGAGCACTAGTCCATATGACACAAAAATAACTCAAATACTATTTCCCCGATTTCTGCGACCGATTTTTGTGAAATTGCCATCACTTCATTTTTAAGATTTTTTGAGTGATGCACACTCTATGTATATATACTCTTTGCTAGTAGCTACCCTTTGGTTTTTGTAAATGAAAACTTTGATTGTTTTTATTTCACATGTAAATTCATTTTCTGTTAAACGCTAGTAAAACATATTTTTCGCACATAAAAATCTTCGCACCTTGATGCGTTCGAATTGGTTTTCGCGCTGAATTATTCACAGATTCACTTAGCTCGTTTAGTGAGTGGATGGGTGCGAGTGCGAGTGCGAATGCGAATGCGAGTGAGAGTACTGGGGCTTTTTAATACTCGAACATTTTTTACTTGCAAAATTGTATATACATTAGAAAGAACAGCAGAAATAATTTGAATTTTTTATGTTGTTTGTTGTTTGCTGTTTGTTGATAGTGGCATTATTGTAAGTTGTTGTTGCTTTTATTTAGCATTAGTGAATTTTTCGCTGATATTTTTTTATTCGTCAAGCAAAATACTTCGTTTAGTTTATTTTGAAAGTGTGTGATGGCGGTGAAATTCTTTTTAAATTATTTGCGTAAATTTAGAAACTGGCGCCAGGAAATAATCTACGCGTCGTTTTCGTTAATTTTTGTTGCTGGTTGCTGTTTGTTATTGTTGTTGTTGTTGTAGTTGTTGCTGTTGCTGTTATTATTATTGTTGGCGACGGAATTACGAATTTCAAATTACATTCCCAATTATTTTTCAAGCAATTGTTAATAATTTTTTATTTTACTTTCAGTGCTGGTAGCTAGCCATTAAATTAAAAATATATTTCATTTTCTTTAAATAAAATTTAAGTGTCAAATTATTAAATAAATAAGTTAAGATATGAGCCAAGTATCTTGCGGGTATGCACCTGTGCGTATGTACATATACATATCGTTATTGGTTCAATTAATTTGTATGACAAATAATATTTATTTATGTTCTAAAATTAACACCTTTTACAAGTTTGCACCTGATCGACATAATGGAATGAATAATTCAAATTAAAAAAAAGGAAATAAGCCAGTCATGTCTTCAGTAATAAGTATTCTAGACATATTCTCATAATGGTCAAAAAAGGTTACTTTGAAACGGAAGTAGATTTTTGATATCAAATAAGATATAAAGAAAAAATAAATTAAGAAAATATATTAAATTTGTTGGAAGAGTAGAATACAACAATAAAAATTTTCTAATTATACAAGAAGGACATTTCCTTTCTTGTTTGAATATTTTCAGGCATGAATATTAACATTTTAGTTTTGTATTTAATAAGTTACAGTAGTAGTATATATATGCATATAGAAATATATAAGGACGTTTTTATTAATGGATATGATTAATAGTTAAAAGCAGTCAAAAATAACATTTAAATATTACATGTTGTTAAGAGAGAAACAACTTGTAGGTTATATTAAGTCTTCTCTCACTCTTTAATTTTCTGGAACTTTAGTTAAACTAATAAAGCTGTGATCTTGAAACTATGATCTTGAAACTATAATATACAGAAGTTATAAGTTTCTATATAAAAATATTTAAAGTACCGATTTAAAATTTTAAAACAATAAGCGAAAATGTAAATTATATATATACATAATATTACAATATATACATACATATATATCATATGTGCTCTTAAAAAATTTTTTGGTTTCTGCCATACTGCCATACATAACTAGACTTCATTATAGAGAAATAACTTAATCCTTATCAATTACATAAAAATTGTTAAGAAAAAACAATAATATGCCAATAATTAGTAAATTCACAGTTACTAAATTCACAATTACAAAATTCACAGTTACTGAATACACAGTTACTAAATACAACGTTAGTTAGGAACATAATCATTTATATATATATATTAAAGATACGGTAATTCATATATCGAATATTATTGAATTTATAATGCTTACCTGTTGTTTCTGTAATCCGAAACCAATGCAACGGATTGCAACACACATAGACGGGATCGCACTCTGTTGGACATATTGGCAAGCGTTTCAGTTCGGATGCGTCTCTTAAATTTTGCCAAAGAAAAAGCGCACACACGACTACGAACGGTTCTTCGTCGATAATAAGACCACGTTTTACCAGAATACATTGCTGGTGCACGGCTAAACGATTTCTCGCGTCCGATGTTAATATCGATTGATCGGATCGACGACTCGTGACTGCTGTCAGCAATGCCGATATTTGACTTTTTTTCATGTTCTTTAACAGAGCATTGAAATACTCTTTGGCCATAGTCGTTGAAGTGAGAGCAGACTTTTTGGTTAGAGTTCCCATGCGATGCCGTTGTTCGTAACGATTTTTCATATTGTTGTTGCTGGCATTGTTGTTGTTCGGGCATGTTATATCGATACGCGATTGTGACGAAAATACGCCTCCACAACAATTCCGCACCAAATTCGAAGCGGTCGTTGCAATTGTTGTTACAGTCGATGTTATAACTGCTGAAGTTTGACTGGTCAGTGTTGGACGACGTACTTGTTGTTGTTGTTGTTGCTGCTGCTGTTGTAGTAGTTGATGTTGTTGTAATTGTTGTTGCTGTTCCTGTTCCTGTAATTTTTGACTTAGTTGATAATAACTGCTGTTGTCGGATTGTTCGCATATGTCGACGGACATATTGTCGCCATAGTTTTCGTATTCGCAGCCAGTTATTTTGTAATTTGCTGCTATTTGATCTTCTGATTCCGTTGCTGATGCAGAAATTTCCGTTTCCGCATCCGTTGTGTATTGTGATTGCTGACGAAACGACATAAGGTAATCGGCATGAACTTCGGATGATCCGGAGCAGTCCATTCCATAAGGCCCGGATGAATATGGTGGCAGGGGAGTATTTGACTGTTGTTGGCGGTGTTGTGATATATTCGACACTATCGCCAATGGCGAACTGTTCGAATTTAAGCAACAATTTCTGTATGACTGTCTGGATTGTTGTATCAACTGTTGTTCTTGATGGTATTGAGGGTGGCGTAGAGGTTGAAGGCGATGCGGCTGTGGTGGCTGATTGTTCGTCCCATCCGCATTTGCTGCAAATTGCATATTTTCTGACGCATAACGCCATAGTTTTTCTTTTTTGCGTGAAAATACCATGGAGAGACATTAAATGTGTTGGTAACATCGATGTTATCTTATCGTATTCGCATTATTTGTTCCGACAAATTTTTTATGCTGATTACTTGCCGTTGACCCGTTTTTCCGCCACAATTTCAATTGAACGTTAAATAGGTACAACGCGCGTTCTTTCGGCAAACGTATAATTTTAAAATTATTATGCAATACTACTTTTGAAAATTTTAAATTTATTTTTATTTTAAAATAGTACAAATTTTCAATTCAAATCACACATTCACTTTTTAGCTATTATTAAAATTAAATACATTTACGTTTAAAGCCATATGAACAGAAAATTATTTCTTTAATTTGAATACAACATTCGTGTATGTTATTTATTTATTTATTTATTTTTTCCTTCTGTTAAATTAACGCAACTCTTATTTATTTCAATTTTTATATATTGTATCATATATAAAGCTTACTAATAAATTAATATGGTAACACTTATTTTAGAAACTTAAGTCGAATCAAACATATATACTAACAATATATGCCTAAAAGCACTATTAAATAATTATTTTTATTATATTTTTTATCACTTGTTTTTATAACTTTCGATATGTGTTGGTATTTACGTTAAAAAACCGATTTAAGGCGCTGAAAATAAAAAATAAAAATAAATTAAATCTAAAATACAGAATTATGATAAATTAAAAGTTAAATATAATATAGTGTCAAAAATATGTTTGCAAAATGCAAAAAATTAATTCGTTATTTCATATCGAAAAATGTCAAATTTAAGTATGGATATAGATACTATAAAACTACTCTATTCCAGTTGTGTGACGCGAGCGTGTTTCTTTAATATTCGGAAATTGATATTTAAAAAATATATAAATTTTATTTGCCAAGAATAGTAGTTTTTCATATAACAAAACCGATATTTAATAAATATATAAAATTTATTTGACAAGAAACAAATGCCATATTATATATAATATATATAATACTATATGCAATCTGCAAACATTTTTTTTTTCAACTATTATGGTTGACTTTAAATAATTTCTTTATATTTTATAATTTTTTTTTGCTAAACGTTAACGCATAGGTCTAGAAAGGAACTTTAGTCACCAAATAATGGAATGATTGTTTATTTTTAATGAAAAAACTCTACAAAAAAAAAGTAAAAAGAAATAAATTGTTTATTTGTAAACAAAAATATTTTTTAACGATTATGAATGCTTGATTTTACAACTATCAAAAATTAATTGTTTTCAAAAAGGTGTCCAACACTATAAAAGTGTAAATTTAAAAATTGTGATTTTATTCATTATTTGGATTTTTATACTTCAAATCAAAGACTAATCCATATTATGTAAAAGTATATTAACTATAAACGCTGTCAGGTAACCTTCTGAATTCTATTTACTTGTTCTTACAATTGAAAATATTTTTCGACATTTTATTTTAGAAATTTTTGAACGTAACTGAAGAGTTTTGAGTTTTGTTTATTTTAAGGACTGTTAATCAGCACTTTTATTTGTTTTTAGCGCTGCAAAAGCTAGCACTTTTACTAGTTTTTGTGAAACTACTATTATTTTGTCTTTAGTGCTTGGTTTGTTTGTCTATGTTTAGTGCAGTAAATTTAGCGACTTGAGGAAAAGTTTACTTAATAATTCTAATGAAATTCAACTAGTAGGTCAACATGTAAGCCGTGTTTCGTCAGCTTCAGGGAAACTGTTTCCCCTGAAGATTACTACCGAAGATAGTCGAAATGTCGTAAAAATATTTTAATAAAATATAAATTGTTTTTAAATATAAATAATAAATTTTAAGTTTTTTTAATTTCTATTCAAATGAGCAATTAGCCCGCTAATAAAATATTATATAATATTTTTGGTCACAAATAAAAGAATAAGATATTCAATATCTGAATTAATTACTTTAGTAAATGGTACAGAAAATATTTATGTGTAAATTTCCTAATATAATTAACTAATTAAATCATATATAAATACATTTCATTTATAAAAAAAAAATAATAATAATAAAAAATAAATAAGAATAAATAATATAAAAAAAATATTAAAAAAAATATTAAAAAAAATTATATCTACTCAATAATATAAAACAACAATAACATCAGTAGAATAAATAATATAAAAAAAATAAATATAAAAAAAAATTATTAATATAAAAAAATTAAATAATATAAAAAATTAAAAATATGAAGAATAATAATATAAAAAAATTAAATGATATAAAAAATCAATAATATAAAAAAATTAAATAGTATAAAAAAATTAAATAATATAAAAAAATAAATAACATAAAGAAATATATATAAAAAATAAATAACATAAAAAAATAAATAACATAAAAAAATAAATAACATAAAAAAATAAATAACATAAAAAAATAATTAAATACAAGAATTATTTCCAAGATTTCTGATAATGGGTATTTGGCAATACTTGAAAAAGCTTTATGATAAGCCAAAAATTCAATTAATTAAATTAATATAAAATGATTTTTTGTTGTTGTAGTTCACTACTGTTCGAAAAAGCCTCTTTAATATAAAAAAATAAATAATATAAAAACATAAACAAATAACTAATATAAAAAAAAAGTTCTTAAACTATTTTCGAATAAATAAAAAATTAAATTAAATAAATAAAAAAATTTATAAAAAAAAAAATTAAAGAAAAAAATGTACAAAAAAATAATATTTTCCATTGTACCCAATATAATTATAAAGTTCCAAATAAATTTTCACAACTAACTGATAGAATTGTTAGTTGGAATCCTATCAATTTTGAAAGGCATGAGAAATTAAGTCTATATCTTCATTATCAGTAAGTAATATATTGAGTAATTAACAAAATAATTAAACAATTTTATTATCAGAGAAAAGTGCAAATACAAAAACAGAAGCAGAAAAAAACAAAAGCAGCCCACAACAGCAGGCTGCATTGTTTTTGAAATTAGAAATTGCAGTGTTGATAATTGCAAATTGAAATTACTTATGCGCACACACAACTACACAATTAGTTTTCTACTGCTACTGCTACTGCAACTGCAAAGCATAAGTACTAAGTACACAAGTGCAATAATACACATGCCTCACAGAGTAAATCAGCATCAACAATACTGCCGGCAGAGGCAGAGTCAGCGCCACCAGCAACAAGAACGACAGTAATGAATCAACAACTACCAAAAACAAAAAAAATAATAAATTTTACTGGCATATTTAACAGAACAGCAGCGGCAACAACAACAACAACGAGAAAAAGATAATATATTAAAAAAACATTAACTGACTGAGCTTGACAAGTTGTTGCCTTCATCAGCCGACAACGTCGCGACGTATTGTTGTTGTTTAATATTGTTTTTCGTTTTTTTAATCGCTGCTGTTGTTGTATGTATTGCCGTCGCCAGCCAGAAGTCAAAGCGGTTTTTAGTTTATTTATTTATTTTTGTATAAATTTTTTTTGTTTTCAGTTTTCTGTTTTTTGGTATTGCTATTATGTTTGATCATTGTATATCTGCACAAACATATACACGCAACAACAAACATGTACGATGTATAGTTGTGTTTGTATGGCGTTACAACAAAATATTTCTTATTTATTCCAACTTAATTTTGTATTTTGTGGTTTTTCTGGCTGGTTCAACCATTGCAAACATTTCTGGCGTTCTTTATCTCACACATGCGATACAATTGGCTTTGCGTGCAATCAGCTAACAGCAACGAAAGGCAGCAGCAGCTTACCATCAGGCGCCAGTGGGCGCCACTGACGTAATAAAAGAAATAATAGTAACGAAGTCGGCGTCGTCAGTCGGCACAGTGGCGCCACCAATTCAAACTCACTCAGACAGACTAATTCCAACGCAAATGCATGCACACCAATGCATATACACGCACACACACACACACACATCTATACACAAATTATAATTTGTATGAGCACGAAACTCACAAACATACACATGACAAATTTCATTTGAACAATTTGCTGGTAGAGTTAACACACGGGCAAAAAAAAAGTAGAAATGTTTGTATGTACACGAGATAAATAATAACAACAAGAAAAATGAGTACACATAAGTTGATCTGCATGCTGAGAGGAGAGCGCACCAGCTTATAGGAATTTAACATACGCATATGACGATCGAGCGATCGATGGTATAGTAGTAAACTCAGTACGGAGTTCCGTGTTCAGTTTGCAGTGCATGTTTGTGTGTTTTAATGTTTTATGAACATAAAATTCTTGTAGATACAATCTTCAGAGCCACACACACACACTTACATATATACACATGCTCTATTGGAATGACTTTCTTTCTCTTTTATAAGAGGCGAACGTGAGGTGCTCCAAGTCAACAACCGGAAAGTGTTGCCATTGTAAACAAAATGAGAGAAGAAAAAAAAAATAATATCAAGAAAATAAATAAAATATGTGCATGAATTTTTTATACATTTAACTTGGAACTATTTTTGAAAATATGCCTGCATGCATGCTAGCATAATGTGCCTACCGACCGAATGCATGCATCGGTGGTGTAACTATGGATATTTTATGATCGGACGTAATATTGTATATTTGAACTGCTTCTGCTCCTCTGATGTTATTTGTGTAGTCAATTCATTGTAATTTTATAAATTTAGCGTACCTCAATAAATGTTTTAGCGTACGACTGACGACTGACAGACGAGTCCAGAGTCACAGTTTGCTATGCAAAACTAATTACTACTGATTTATGTTGTTTAAAATTGATAATTATTATAAGATAATAAAACGACAATTAAAAATAATAACAAACGTTCAAAAAATATTCAATAAAAATGGCTAATATATACAGAGTTTAATAAAATGATTATTTTCCTATAACGTTTTATAGACCTTATTTTCCTATAACGTTATATATAACTTACGACAGCCCAACTTAGATTAGAGACAGATACGTATATCTTTTCTATAGTTAATATATTTCAAATGCATTTAATAAAGTTACGGATCCTAAAAAACATTATCAATTAGATTCTATACTATACTATAGAATCTATACTAGATTCTAATTGATAATAACCAAGTTGACTCGAAATGAGAGCAATCAAGAATCTCGTAGAAGGTTGTCAGAACAATATATTATAGTTAGATTAGGTAGTTAGAGTGCCCAAAGCTCACTTGATACAAATAATGGCCTGTTTTGATA